AACTATTTCCACTAGTGGGTGGGTCAGTAACCTGAGGACACCAATTTAAAATAGTTACTAGAAACAGAGGGGAAGTGAGGAGAATTTTTTTCACACAGCTAGTTGTTTGGATCTGGAATGCATTGCCTGAAAGGGTGGTGGAAGACAATTCGATAACAACTTTTAAGAGAGAAGTAGGTAAATATTTGGGGAGGACAAGTTTGCAGGGCTATGGGGACAGAACGGGGGAGTGGGATTGAATTGGATAGCTGTTTACAAAGAGCCTGCACGATGGGCTGAATGGCCTCCTTCTGTACTGTATAATTCTATGATTCTATGTGTCAATGTTATAAACGCAAGATTTTTAAAAAAATGCAAGTTTTTAAAAAAATTGTTATAGAACCATAAAAATCTCTGTGTTATATTGTCAGTTGTAAACAAACAAATGCTTCCAGCCTTGTGTTTTGGTCTTATAATGTTCAAACATATAATGTTCAAATAAAAAAGATGTGATGGAAGTTTCTTTGACTTTGATGCAATGGGATATTTTCTGTTAACCCTTGGCTTTTCTTTTAGTTTTTGTTTCTGTTTGAAAACTACTAATTAATGTTGTAATATGCACCCTCTTCAATTGATTCATGAGGCATGGAATTCCACCTAGTATTAGGCTCTAAGACAATTTTGTCATCAATTTTAAGATTGGGTATTATGGAGAATTTTTTTATTTCAGTTGTAATTTGAAAACCGTTTTTATATACTTATTATTAAAACTGAACTTAAAAATGTTGTACATTAGATTCAATTAGGCATACTTCCAGGCCTCAGGAGAGGAGAACATTGAGAACAGGTTGGTAAGAGGTAAAAATACAAGCCCCTGGTATAGAAAAAGGAAAAGTTAGGCAGGATAACAGTAGCCATAGTAAAAAGAAACAACTACTGAAAGGTAGTTTCTACATTAAATATGAAGAAACTTGGATGTGTGGGTGTTAGAAACATTTGCAACTATCTCCAAAAATTTTAGAATGATCCGATTCCAGTTTACCAATTGGTTGAGTTAAGTCACTTTATTCAGGTCAAAACAGCAGGTAATACACAAATAAATGAAACAATAATACACAAGACACAACAGATATACAAATCATAGAGAAACATGGTCACTTTCTTACTGGAGGTAAATTCCCTTACCCCTGTTCATAAACAGTAGAATTGATATCAATTCTACTGGGAAGTGTGCTGACCCTCTACACAACTCCCAACTATTTCAAAGTTACATCTTTCTTTCATGTGTTTCTAACTCCACCTCCCCTTGTCACAGAGATAGTCCCCACCCTTCGCAGCTGCTTTGCAGAGAGGGAAATATATGGACAACTTCTGGACAGCCTTCCACAGCCTGTTTGTTTCTCAGCCTTGAGATAGGCAGATGTCTATAGCCTTTCCTTCCTGTGGTCCTTTGTTCTTACATCGACGCTCAAGGACCCGATTTCTCATTATCTCAGAGGATTGAACATCTTCTCAGGAAAATATGAAATGTAAGCAGAAGCTGACCTCAACCCGTCCAACAAAGCCACTTTTAACCAATTAACTATCAAACATCTGGAACATTCGGTTGCTGTATGAAATATAACAATGTATCCTGAGGTGATAATCAATATATTTCAACATGGTGTATGTAAGTCTGAATGGATACTGATGGAGTGTGCCAGTTAGTGTGGATACTGATGGGATATGGAGGTCTGTTAAAGGACTATTTTATAGGTGAACATGGTAGCAAATTTGTGCACCGCAGTGTCTCACAAACAGCCATGAAATCTCAGCGATGTTTTAAGGTGCTGTATCAATGCAAGGAATATTATTATTATGATTATGAAGCGAATGACCAATTTTAGATGAAGGATTTTTGGCCTGGACACTGGGAGAAACTACCTTCTGTTTTTCAAGTAGTAATAATAATAACACATTCACATCAGGAAGATGTCTCAAAGCACTTCACAGGATTTAGTATAAAGTGTAATTACTGTGTATTAGTGCCATGGGATCTTCAACATCCATCTGAGTAGGCAGATAGGATCTTGGTTTAACATCTCATATGAAAGATGACACTTCTGGCAATGTAGCACTTGCCGCAGCATTAGAATAGCCTAGATTATAATCCTTGCATTTGATGTAGCGCTTCTCACGTCGGGAGGACGTCCCAAAGCGCTTCACAGAACACACTGTAAAGTGAATTGACTGTATATTTGTGGGCGAATGCGGCAGCCAATTGCGCACAGCAATGTCCCACAAACAATCGTAGATTGAAAATGACCAATTTATTATTGTTTTTGGTTTTGGAGGGATTATTATTAGGCGTGTGGAGTAAGGAAACTTGCCCAAGGTTTTGCCCTGTCTGGAATTGAACTCAGGTCTCTTGCTTGCAAAGCGAGTGCTCTAACCACTGAGCTACAGGACTCCATGAGCTCAAAACCCAAAGTGAAGTTTGAATTCACAACCTTCTGACTGAGGTGAGAATGCCTCCAACTGAGCCAGGCTCACACCTAATTCATGCCTCGGAATCTTGAGTAAAACATTCAGGAGATTTTTGTTTACCTCCAAAACAATTCTCAAGTAATAGTTCCCAGTTAATGTCAATCAAATAAACAGAATCACTTGGCAGGCAGCATACCTTTTGAAACATAAATATTTCCAATGTGAATACAACATTTTCATCTGTAGTATTGAGAACATTGGTCATGTATTAAATTGGTAAATTGTGATGAATGGCAATATTATTCTGGAAGAGCGAGAGAAATAGACCAAAGGGCCTCCTTCATCACAAAACTCCTTTGGGATCCTGCAAATTCAACAGCTTTGCTCTGGATAGGTGTGTAATTCTAGTGCAGAGGCCGAATATAGTGCCTAATGAAGCTCTGGAGTCTCTAAATGCAGTGCTAAGTAGGTGTTGTCACAATCCGAGTCTCTGGACTTTATTTTGCCTCTAGATTTCTGGGAGGTGCTTGTGGTAACTGACTTTCCAAAGTCATGGAAAAATCTTGTCATCATCATTAAAGTGTGAATGATATCAAAGTTATTCACATTTGCAATATATTGTTAGAAATGTTTATTGTCTCTGTGACCCCAAAACAGGGAGAGAATGCACACTCCATTCCAAATACAGGGAAAATTCCATGTGTAAGTGGTACACAATATTGAAGTGGAACTCACAATATACTCTGGATACCTTTAAATATGGTGATGGGTTACCGTGTGCCTCAGACACACGGCTGTCCAAAAAAAAGTAAAAAGTGGAAACAGATTGTTCCGATAAGAACAATAAACATACAGATCATCTGAAATGAAACAGAATGCTGCTAATGTAACAGCCAGTTAATCAGCTCCTGAAAGGCAAAACACAGAGGTTAACTTTTCAAGTGAGACCTTTGATCAGAACTTCATCAGACGATTTATTATACTCCTTAATATAACAAATAACGTGGTGTTCTGTAGCTTAGTGGTTAGAGCACTTGCCTCACAAGCGAGAGGGCCTGAGCTTGATTCCCGGCAGGGTAAAACGTGAGGCAATTTTCTTCACTCCATACGCCTCTGTTTACCTAGAATTTAGGAAACCGGCTGTCAGTTGATTGACGAATCGCTTTTCCATCCCTTAAAAAAATTGGACACTCAATCCTCAATCTGTTTGTGGGACACTGGCTGCTGGGTTTCTCCCACAAAATATACAGTCAATACACTTTACAGTATATTCTGTGAAGTACTTTGAGGCGTATGGAAGAGGTGATAAAATGCTATATCAAATGCAAGAATTATTATTATTAATCAATTGGTCTCATCTTGTTAAAAACAATTATGCAAATGTACACAAAATAGACTGCTCTGCACTACTGAAGCATTGTACTCTGATTTGATTTAGTATGCATGTGGATATGTGTATATATGTATCACAATACAATATGATTTACATTCGTGTAGCTCCTTTCATGTTGGGAGGACGTCTCAAAGTGCTTAAAGTAACAAGGTTCCATTTCCTAGCTCACTCCCAAATAGAAAATCTCCATTTCCCATATCTTTTCATTGTGCTTCAAGTCGTAAGAGCTTAGTTCTCAACATGCATCAAGCAGTAAAGTGCCATTTCAATTAGTTTAACATCTTTAATAAGGAAAATACATAACAGTTTTTAAGGGAAATAATCAGAGTTCAGAGTTTCAAAAGTACAGGCCATGAAAGAAAATTCCATAATGGAATTCTTTGAGGAACCATTGAGCACATTATTGTGGACAGACTACAGTACCAACAAAATTAACTTGTTCCTCTTTTTTAAAAAAATGTTCAAATAAATATTTGGTTAAGAATGTGATTGGAGTTAATATTTATAAAGTATAGATACAGACTGGCATGAGGAAATATTTTATGAAACACAGAGATTCCTATGCTGCCAGGGACTATTGAAATGGCATTTTTGAAAAGTAACTGATCATATGGCACCCGATCTTATTAAATCATATGGCATTCTGAAAAAAAGAAAGTCATTTCTCCTGGTACCCTGTAGCTCAGTGGTTAGAGCACTCGCTTTACAAGTGAGAGACCTGTGTTCAATTCCAGGCAGGGCGAAACCTTGGGCAAGTTTCCTTACTCCACACACCTTATAATAATCCCTCCAAAAAAACAAAACAATAATAAATTGATCATTTTCAATCCATGTCTGTTTGTGGGACATTGCTGTGTGCAATTGGCTGCCGCATTGGCCCACAAATATACAGTCAATTCACTTTACAGTATATTCTGTGATGCGCTTTGGGGTGTCAAGAAGACGTGAAAAGCGCTATATCAAATGCAAGGATTATTATTATTACCCTGACCAACAATTTTCCAGATAAATTGATCACGGTTCATGTGCTATACTCAAAATGGCTGTACATTTGCCTGCAAATGCATAGCCACTAGATGTTGATATTATACTATATCAAATGAGAGGTTTGTTATTTGTTAGCAGACTGCTTGCTAACATGTTTGTTTTCATTTTCAAATAGGAATTGGGAAGAATGTCATCTGTGACAGAGCGGCGACTCCTTTGGATGCCTTCAGGATGATGTCAGCTGCACATTACTATCCCAAGCTCATGAGTATAATGGGCAATGTTCTACGCTTCCTCCCTGCTTTTGTTAAAATGAAGCAATTGATTCAGGAGGGCTACATAGGGGACTTGTTGATCTGTGAGGTTCAGGTTCACAGTGGAAGTCTACTGGGTAAGAAGTACAACTGGAGCTGTGATGATCTGATGGGTGGAGGAGGGCTGCATTCAGTAGGAAGCTACATCATTGACCTTTTGACTTTTCTGACCAATCAGAAGGCTATCAAAGTCCATGGGTTCCTGAAAACCTTTGTGAAGCAGACAGAGCATATCAGAGGGATCCGTCAGATCACCAGTGATGACTTCTGCACCTTCCAGATGGTTTTAGAGGCTGGTGTGTGCTGCACGGTAACTTTGAATTTCAATGTGCCTGGGGAGTTTAAGCAGGAAATCATTGTGGTGGGGTCCACTGGACGGTTGATGGTAACTGGTAGTGACTTGTATGGGCAAAGGAACAACGCAACTCAAAAGGAATTGATCTTAGAAGACTCAACTCCTATTAGCAGTTCTTTGCTCCCAGAGAAAGCTTTTAGGGATATCCCATCTCCATTTCTCAGAGGGACCATCATGATGGTCCAAGCCATTCGACAGGCATTCCAAGACCAGGACGATCGACGAACCTGGGACGGGAGGCCTCTTACTATGGCAGCGACATTTGAAGATTGCCTGTATGCTCTGTGTGTGGTGGACACAATTAAGAAATCAAATGAGACTGGTGAATGGCAGAACATTGTGATTATGACAGAAGAGCCAGAGATTAGTCCAGCATATTTAATCAGTGAAGCCATGCGTCGCAGTAGAATGTCCTTGTTATACTAGATACTTTTAGCAACTTCACACAGAAAGATTTGCAGACCTAGCCTATAAGTAAAGAAGTTTAACACTGTATCATTGTAAAAGTGAATGCATGATGTCATTCTTTTGGGATATCTTGTTTTTAAATAAACATTGCTATTGCTACAGAATCTATTCACAGGCATACTTAGTTAAGTTAAAAGTTTATTACATTTAATAAAAACAATCCAACTAAAGTAAATAAGTATTAATGACTAATGCGGATCAGCCCAGTTGGTGCTTTGTGGGAGCCTTTCAAACAAGACGTTTGATATTACCTTGTGAAATGTCACTGATTAAAGTGACTTGTTCTTGAGCCTAACATGGTGACACTTTAACACTCAGAAATGATCTCAGATCATTGCTCATTGTGATGGGGTGCTCACAATTCACAATCTCAGCAAGTCTTTGAGAGGTGCTATTGTGGAAGTTATAGGCCCGATATAACTCACGGTCTTAGCTTTAAAACCACTGTCTTGAATTTAAGATTGTGCCACAAAAGTCTTAAAATTTGAATTTTTTTTAAGAACTGTAGAAAATCAGCTTACAAATTAAGACTTAATTTTAAGTATTTTCCAAAATTCCGTTAAATCTTAAATTTTAAGGTAATTTCATTAGGAATTTAGGCCTCTGCTACTATCCCAAGGAAGGGTTAAATATAAAAAAAACCTCCCTGATTCTTCTTGGGTACTTTCCAATGGTTGATTAAGGTGCACTATTGACTGTAATCTTTCAGCAAGAAAATAGTGCATACCATAGGGTTTGCACTATTTTGATTTTGGATTGTGCATATTTTCGGTAAACTGCTTGGAAAAATCTGACAATCTAGATTTTTGAAATAGAAATCCATGTGCACCTTTTTCTTACAATGCAGAGTCCTTAGTTATTAAGGTTTTCAATGAATTTTCAGCAGCAACAACAATAAACTCAAATAGTAAACCTATCTCCAGTGGATACAATATTAATTTGGGCTACAATGGGTCGAAAATAAAGTATTTGAAACAGAATTTGTGCATATTTAATTCTGCTGGTAACTGAAGTGATCCACAAGAACCTATATATCCTCCAATCACCTGCAGGATTGCCAGGGTTCAGGTGGTAACTGGTAGAATTCAATATTTACAGTATTGTCACTCCATAGTGACAACTGCTTCATTCAACATCCCTACAAATTATATTAAGAAAAAGCCACCTTGAAGTCAGAAATTAAGTGTAGTCTGGATTTCATACTGACTAGCATTACAAGAGCAATATCCTGTTATTTTGTCATGCTTTTCAATGAGAAACTCATGCTGGTCCTCTCATCTGCTCTGGAGAAGATTTTCTTCAGCATCAGTAGCAAGGACTATGGGTTTTCACTCATTATTGGAGCACTATATATGACACTGAGGCCTTGATCTTTCCCCGATACCGTGAATGTGGTGGTAGCACAAAAACACCTTAAAATACTAATTTGATTTACTGCACCCTGCTCCCAGCATGGCACTCTATTCTTGTTTCAAAATATTGAAAGGTGGAATGCAAATGAAAAAGGACTCTTGTCCACAGCTAGGTTTGCAGAACACACTTTTTCAAAGAAAATATCAGCTATTTGTAGATCTGCCTAAATCATTCGCTGAAAATATGATCTAAATAAATGGAACAATAAAAAGGTAACATCTCCTACAGGGTCACTCGGTACACTCAATGGTCAAAACAAGATTGTACATAAATTCAGTAGCTTTTAATATTTAGTTGCACAGTGCGTGAGGGGAAAATTCTGACTTACAAGGCAGTTGCCAGCATTGTGCTCAGCACTGTTAGTGCTTACTTCACAGAAGGGGTTATCAGGGCCTGTGTAGAAGAACATATTACAGGTGGTACCTTAGAAATTCAGCTGTTTCTCTTGCAATATTACAGTATTTATACATAAGCACTATTTTATGTACAATACAGCAATTGCTTAAAGAGGCAATAAAAATAAGAACAATAAGAATGCTTAAACTTTTTGGGAGTCAGCTGGGCGTCTAACACACACAGAAACCTATCACCATGTTTAAGAATATTCAAATTAGACATTTCTTCCCTTGCCAGGAAGGAGTGAGCACGCCTTTCCTGTAGAAACTTGCTCTGCTTAGTTAATTCCGGAAAGTATTAAAATGCGGTTGGTAAGAGCCAAGGCTTGGGGGTCCCAGAGTGTGTGTTGGGATTCTGCTGGATATGGGTTTAGCTTTGCCAGTGAGAGGATTGTTTGGCAAACTTTCTGCTCCTTATCCTCCCTACCTTTCAGGGCTTTGGTTTGCAGATTTGACAGGATTCCACAGGGAAAAATCTCTCCTTCCAGTTACTGATATGCTCCTCCAAATGCTGCCAACAAGTTATACTGGTTAGTCTGTCATCAGGCCTGCCTGGCTCAGGAACCAGACTACCGAGATTGCCATAGAGGGTTAAATCGATTCCAACATTCGGTTGCCAGGCATGTCACTTTGAGCCAGCTCAGCCCCATGAGACTCTGGAGATAGGTCTCAAAGGAGTATTATTGGTAATTAGATCTCCGATAAGTGTAAGTTTGAGCAATAATGATTGAAGTGTGCAATAGCAATTCACGTGCTTTAGGGGGTGGATGCAGCACTCCATCTACAACTGGCTGTTTCAGATTTAGAGTTTCTGCAAAAGGACAGATTTCCACCTTATACCAGCATTTTGAACCCAAATTAACAAACAATACAGAGTGGAGCACAGCAAAATCAATCTGACCCACATACCACACAAGTGATCCTAAAAGCAATGTCATTGATTCAGACCTGGATAAACTTTTGATTGGCTAGTTTGCATTCAGGTCAAATAATTCTAGCAGAGGTTAGCTCACTCATTCTTAGATGAATAAGACCAGATTTTCTTACACATCATTTGCACATAATGCAACATTTGAAATCTGAATATACAATAAGGGTTATTTAAAATAATAAAGGCTGATTGAGAACTTGATAAAATAATAAAGGCTAATGGAAAAGCTTGTTTTTTCTATCAGTGATTTGTCATGGGCCTTGAAGGTCATTTAAATATTTGTCTGTGTTTAAACTTGAAATGAAATATTACTGATGACAAAATGTGAATTAATAACGATAATTTATGTGTTTTATTCATGATTCTTCAGTGAGATATACTGTAATGTACAGAATAGATCTGTATGTCTGTACATCCTCTGCTATTTATGGTACTGTATTTTCAGCATGAATATCTGTATATATGCTAAAGAGATATTTATCAAGGGAAAAATTAAGTACTAGAAACTATACAAAGTCTATATTTTATATAATAGATGTTACAGACCATGTAGAATTTGGTTTGTTTAAATATTCTTATTTAAGACATGCACGAAACAATTTTGTGATGAGGGTTAGAAATATTGTGTTGCTTAATTTGTCTGCTTACTTGCCTATTAGACATTTTTGTAGTCTGTGTTGCTTTTTGTAAATCTAAATGAATGTAATACTTTTCATCTGAGTTTCCTGGTTCAGTGTAGCTTGCAAGATAAAAATGTGGATTATTAAAATATGCTCAATGAAATGGAAATTTAAATGAAATAGAGCAGCTTTATTTTGCAGAGTAGCCAAGGGACAGATTGCTTGTTGCAGAATTGCAACTCACTGACTGTAAACAGTTTGTTATTCTATTATTGCTTCTACTGTTTGTCCAAGTGAGTTTACCAATTTCCTAATGCTACATGCCCTCATTTTGACCAAAGGAATACTGTGCACTGACTGGATTGCCAAAAAATGGTATTGTGTATTTCTGAGGTGGATGCAATCAAAGCCTTGAAATCTATTTTATTGAGAATTTTAAAGTTGGCTATTTGTATCCAGACGACTTAAGTCTAACATGAGGCTGCAGACAATGTCCATAAATTGGGCATATTTTTATAGATAACCACCATCTAAAGTACCATGGCTAAAAGAGAAAACTTGCAAGGGACCACCATAACATAGTATTCTAGGCTAGATGTGCATAATCTGTAGGTGTATTGATAAGGGCAGTAGTGGAATGTGAAGTATATCTTAACTTCTCTTCAAATGACAGCATGAAGCATTACTCAGTCAAATATTGTGTGGCCAATGATAATGTTGGAACAATATGCTCTCTTCTGATTAAACAGAAGAATATAAAATAAATTAAAAGAACCCTTATTCAAATAAAACTGGTGTGGCTTTAAAGTATGATACGTTATTTAATCAAGTCTGACCAAGTAAGAGATGCTTATGATGCAGCACGATTCCTCCTAACCCTGATACCTTACAGTAATGCGCTTTAAAAAAACTAATACTAATAAGATTTTTCTAAAACAATGTCATGACAAATGGTTATGAATATTTTGGTCATCATAATACATGCTGTATCATTCATTGTTTAAAAATTCTCAGAAAAGATAACTGTAGTGAACAAGATTTCTCTTACTACAAATTTACGGCAGTACAAACTGAGTTTAAATGTGGAGATGACTCACATTTTTAAATGAAGCAGTCTAATATGGTAATAGGGCTCATGATCATGATAGTCAACTGGGATTGATCTCCACAGACACGATGCAGGTTCGAACCCTGATCTACCATCAGAACCTTGTAAAACAAATACTGGCTGTGACATGATGGAAAGACATTCAGTGGGTGAAATAGGGACAGTGTATAACTATACAAAAAATTAACCATCAGTCAATTCCAACTCTTTAATTGGTAATGAATTTGAAACAAAAGTTTCACAGATAAAACAATGACCATATTACATTGAAAAAATAGCTGGGAAAATGATCAAAGCTATAAAGCAGTGAAAATGTTCATAAACTGAGCTTTGCTCATTTGGTTTACAGCATCATCAATGCCCTTCAAGTGCTCTGTAGTCTTGGAACACATTCAAAGCTGCTATTTTAAGTGCTGTATGAACATTTACAACATTTTAAAAGAAAACGTGGCTTTAAATACCAGTGATGTCCACATAATAATTTTGAATGGCAACACTTTCAATCCTGGTATTCATTGATTAGGAACAGTCCTTTCTTGGATTCATATCCATGGAAACTTGCCTGAGAATTCCAACAACTAATTAGACTTGCAAACCCTTTGAAACTATTAAGAGAAAACTCTTCTGGCAAATAGAATCATAGAATTATACAGCACATAAGGAGGCCAGTTGGCCCATCGTGTCTTGCTGGCTCTTTGAAAAGAGCTATCCAAATCAATCCCATTCCCCTGCTCTCTCCCCATAGCCCTGCAAACTTGTCCTCCACAAATAATTATTTATTTAATAGGTGGATTTAAACTTGTTTTTGAGGTGAAGAGCAGTCTTGGAAAACTGACAATTGTATTCTCAACTTCAATTCAAAGACAGGTCCAATTTGTGTTAACCATGTGCAAATTTATGTTCAGAGGGAATACAAGTGCTCTCAATTATGTAATGAACTAATGCAAATAATTCTGCAATCATTTGTTTTCAAAACCCTCCTAGAAACCAATAACTGACCATACCATTGGTCAACATTTGTAACCCCTCCCTC